CTAAACCTTGTTGCCCTGGATTGTGTAACTGATGTGTTTATAGATGGGTGGTGATCTTGCTTCTTAGGACCCTCTTCAAATATTTTTATGATTAAGGTGTTAGTGCTATCGGTCTGGTTGTTCTTTGCTGTTGCTTGCTGCTCCCTTTGTGAAGGGGGCTATGTCTGTTGTTTTTAGTAACGGTGGGGACGACCCGTGTTCCATGCTCCTCTCCATTAGGTTGGTAAAGCTTGTGATAGGGGCTTCTTGCTGTTCTTGTACTGAACACGGAGTTCCATGAGTTGGGCCCTGGGGCAGAGTGCCAGGGCATTGTCATTTATCACTGTTCGAAAGTCAATTTGGCGTTCAGGATAACATCAGATAGACTTGTGTTACCAAATTCTGTGGCTTCTCTCATAAAATTTCATATTTGCCGTGCCGAATATGTAAAACTGGTGAATTTAGCAAGAGCTCATTTAAGGATGATAGTCCTTTCGAAAAATTTTTCTTATACGTTTTAAAGATTATTTTTTCCATTAATGTTAAGGCAAAAAATTTTAATTTCGCACCAAAAGAATCTTAGAAAACTTACCAAACCCTTTTTTTAACAACAAAATTTTATTTTCCAACCCAACTAAATATTTTTATTTTTTTTTTCTTTATTTAAACCAAACAAACAAAGTGAAATATTTTTTTTTTCGTTAGGTTCAAATGATTTGGAGAAATTTTTGCATACACAATTTTAAATTGTCCTTATGCAAATGAGGTTGTTTTTTAACCAAGTCAAAAAGGTTCCCCTTTTTTCGGCAGACAAATTTTTTATATATTATTATAATTATATATATTTAAAAAATAATATAATATTATATATAATATATATAATATAATTAATTTTATTATATATGAAGTTGCGCGGGGAAAAGGCTGGAGGCAGTGAGTGTCATGTCTGAGGGCAATGGTGGTGTGAAAAAACAGAAAATTTCGTATTTGGAATTTTTTTTAGGGGGAGGTGCGGGTTCCCAAATGTTGTCCAGAGGGCTGGGGAAAGGGGTTTGGGGTGGTTGGGACATGTAAAGAAATGGAGGAAACAGAATGACTTCAAGATGTATCATCGTAGTGGAAGGAAGGGGGGGGGTGGGGTCGGCCTAGGAAGGGTTGGAGGGAGGGGTAAAGAGGTTTTGGTTGCGAGGGGGGGTTGGATTCCCGCAGGCATGCTGGCGTGTTTATAGGAGTGAAGGACAAATGGTTTTTAAAATTGACGTGCTTTTTGGAGTTGAGCAAAAATAACATTTATGAAAAAGGGGTTCAGGGAAACCGCAGGGGCCCGGGTTGAGTCCTGGGGATGGGAGTACAGTGCCTGCGCTCGAAGGAGGGGTTAATGTTCAGTTTAAAAACTTAGTGTAAAGCCCCTTCTGGCAAGACAGTGAGGAGTGAATGATGGTGAAAGTTTTTCTTTTTCGGGCCACCCTGCCCTTGGGGGGAACGGGCCGGGTGATAATAAAAAAAAAAAAATATATATATATTAAAAATAAAATATATTTTTGTAAAAATTTTATATATAAAAAATTATATATAAATATTATATATATAATATATATATAAATTATATTATATTTTTATATTTATTTGAGAGAGAAGAGAGAGAGGGGAGGGGAGAAGGGGAGAGAGAGAGACGTTTTGTGTATATTTCGCATGCTCCCCAATTCTTCATATATATTATATATTATATATAAATATATATTAATATATATATCACACCACACACACACACACACACACTGACCCTCGATTAAGACATAGTTAGTTCCCGTAAAGGCATTTTTTAAACAAATCCGTGTTTAGGGAACTGAGAACTTTTAGGAAATAAAGGGGTTTTGTTCCATGACCCTCAAAAAACCAAACAACTTTTTTTTTTTTTTGGGGTCTCCAAACTTAAAAAAATAAAAGGGATCATGAAATTTATTTTTCCCAAAATTTTTAAAAAGGGCCCATTTTTTTTTTGGGTTCCCTTAAAGGGGAAAAAAATGCAACAAAATTTTTAATATTTCTTATTTTAAAATTTGTGGTTGCTGGTGTTAGTCATAAAATTTGAAGGGGGGATGGAGAGGCAGGCTGAGGCCCATCTGGGCTAGAGGGATAGGATTCCAGCCCGGGAAAGGGGTTTTTGGAGCCCAAGTGAGTCAGGGGGTTCACCATAAACCGGGAACAGCCCTTTTTAAATTCAGTGGGTCTCTCATTCAAGTCATCAGTCAAGCCCTTTTTCCGGTAAACATTTTATTTTGGTCAGGTCAATGAAACCCTTTCGTCAAAAAACAGTCGAAGTCAGTCAAGAAAGTAAGCCAGCAGAAATATCAATCAAGCCCAACCCTAAATCATTTAAACAACCCATAAAGTCTTTTCAGAAAAATCACCCATGTTGGCCACTCAAGTCAAAAAGCCAGTCAAGTAAAGTAGTCACCGTCAAGAAAAAATCATTCAGAAACTCGGGCCCAAGACTTTCAAAAAATCACTCAATTTAATTCAGTAAACCCAGTAAGCCCGGTTGGTCAGCCCAAATTAGAAAGCCATTTTCAGAAAAACAGGTCAGTCATTCAGCAAATCAATAAAAGTAGTCATTAAAGTCATTCAGAAAATCAGTAAATCAGGTCAGTCAGAAAGTCATTCAAACCAGTTTTGCAGCTTTAATTTTTTTTCCACCGAGAAGCAGAAAAGTTTAAAAATCGAATTTTTCAAAGTGCGAAAAAAAACCCTTCCCCAATTTGACAAAAATGTAAAACAAAAACTTTTTAAAAACAAAGCATTTAAATTTACAGTCACTGCTTTTATTTTTCCGGCTTTATTTAAGGGGGGTCATAATTTTTTTTTTCCCGTTTTAATGTGACTGGAACATCCCCTTTATACTGAAAAACTGATTGGGCCCTCATGACACCTTTACCTTTGATATAAACCCCTTTAAGAGGGTTTTGAAATTTTACTACTCTTGGGGCCCGACCCAAAGGGCCCGGCTCGTCTGGGGGCTTGCCTGGTTTAACCAGGATGTTGCTGTTTGAGGGGGCCCCTGCCCACATATTCATCACCGCCGGGTGAAATTTGCACCTGGTGAAGATACTTGTCCCCGTTTCCCCCCTTGAGGGGTTTTTACACTTGGTTTCCCGCATGGTTTTTTTATATCTTCCGGTAAGGTGTTTTAATTTGCTGGGACCAATTGGGGGTTTATACAGTGTTTTCCCTTATTTTCCCCAACCCCACCCCCGCTCCCCCACTGGGTTTTTTTTTTGCTCTTCCTTTTATATCCCCTCAAAATCCAGTAAAGTTTTTTATTGGGAGTGTGCAGATTTTTGGGGCCAGGCCCTCCCAGTACTTTCCAGGTATATATTTTTCATGTATTCAATTCAATTCAATTTAAATTTAAGTTTAATTTTCTATAAAGGTTACAAAGTGGGGTTTTTGAGGTTTTGGGTATTGTGTGGTTTACATGAAAAAAATACTAATTACAGAGGGGGGCCCCCCCAGGACACCTAGCCTGGCTAGGGATTTTTGGGGAGACCCCTTTGATTTTTTTCTTAAAAAATTAAATCCCCTTTCAATTATGGTATTAAGGGTAATGACCCATATAATTTTTTGAGTTTTTGCAATGTAATGCTTTTTTTTTTGGCACAATACAAAGTGTCTATATTGGAGTATCATAGGCAAACTTATGACTATTAGGAATTTTTTTTTTAAGATTTAAAATTTGTATTTCTGGGTTTTTTTATTCCCGTGGGTGAGGGGAGTGAAAATTTTAACCACCAGGTGGGTTAAACATGTATTAGTTGTTGGGGGGGGATCAGGGAAATAAGAGGTTTTTTTTAACTGTATTTTAAAGTGATTAAATGTGGGGCTGCAGGGTTTTAAGTTTTCAGGAAGGGTTTCCCAATTTTTTGGGCCTTTTAAATACATTTAATTTTTTTAAAGGTTTTTTAAATCGAACACGGGGGAAAGTCATGGAGATTTTGTGGCCCGGTGGGAATGGGTTTTTGGGGCCTGTCACAACAAACAAGAAAAACATTTTTTGGTTTAAGGTTAATATGGGGAAATTTTTAAAGGGCCTTGTTTGATTGCACCCGTAGTAAATGTGGATGTACTAACGGGGTAAGTTTAGATCAAGAAAGTGGGGGGAAAGGGGGGGGGGTTTTCCCTGGATTGGGGTTTATGAAATTTTTCTTACTGCGGCTTTTAGTTGGGGTTTTTATTGGGGTTTAGGGTGTGGCTGGGAGTTGAAACCCCCAAACCACAGATAGCAAGGGAAAGGGATTTGGGTATATAATGAATTTGGGAAAAGTGTGGGGAAGGGCAATTTTTCCCCGGGACGTAATGTATCCCCGGAGAGGGTCCCCACTGTTTTTGGATACTTTTTTTGTTATGTGTTGGATATGGGTGCTGAAATTTAGGTTGTTGTCGAGTATAGGGCCTGGGAAATTTTGCCCTCATTATGTCTGGCAGTTAGAGTTTTTGTCGATCTTAATGTTAAGTTGTGCAACACCTGCTCTGCTACCAAACATAATACATATAGTAGGTTTTGCCATTGTTTAGTGAAAGTTTATTGGCTGTCATCCAAGTCGATATTTTGAGCAGCTCCTCATTAACAATGGTGTTGAGGGTGGCAAGATTAGGGTGGGAGATGACATAAGTCGTGTTGTCAGCAAAGAGAATGGGTTTCAGGTGTTGAGATATGTTTGGAAGTCATTGATGTAAATGAGGAAGAGCAGGGGTCCAAGGACACTTCCCTGTGGAACTCCAGTCTCTCTCCTCCACTCCAATGAGTACATGTTTAAGACTTGAAGGCATTCCCAGTAATTTAGGTGCTTAACTAGCTCAATGTGAGCCATATACAATCTCTGTACATGTGTGTTGAGTGCATAATACAATGTGGGAAATTTATATGTGAATAAAACATAATAAAATAAATATGGAATTAGTATATATAATGAATTCTCTAAGTTATGATATTAGCTGCAGTAATATAAAATGAAGTAACCTACCATCCTCTGGTGTGGTGAGTGACTGAGAGTTGGAAGGCGTTCCCTCTATGCTGTGCCAGAAGGGGACCATGAAGAAGGTGTAGTGAGTGTTGGAACTCAGGTGGTGCATGAGGTGGGAGGAGGACGAGGTACCCAGGACAGTGGCCACTTGAACAGTGCCAGTCTTGGTCACAGAGTACACCAGCACACCTTCCACAGACACATCTGTCGAAGCCAGGAAATCCCAGGTGAGCAACACACTGTGAGGAGCAGTGATGGCAGCATCAGTGAGGATGATGATGGGATGAGAGAGGCGGTGGTGAGCCTGGCGTACCTGGTCCACAGCAAGGCTGGGGTCACGGGGAAGCTCGGTAGTGACTGGGTCTGACCAGGGGCTGGGGAACGATGCTCCTCTGTTGTTGACAGCACGGACCAGGAAGGTGTAGGTGTGTCCTGGAGTGAGGTGTCTCACCACACATGACTCCTGCATCATGACAGCATCAGCCACACGCCATTCATCCCAACCTTGTCTCCAGTACTCCACTGTGTACCATTGACCCCATTCTTCAGTCACTTGAGAATTGGGAAGCCAGCTTAAAAGTACTGCTGTTTGGTTCATGGACATAAGACGTGGCTTGGTGGGAGGTGCTGGTAGCTGCAAAGTTTCAATAAAACTGGCATCAGGTTCTACTCGGAGCACTGCTGCCTGTTCCACAGTGCCAGTATCTGCTGTAGCTCGACAAGTGTAGATGCCCGAATCATCAAGACGCACATTCTTAATTACTAGGGCATCATTGTCCAGGACAGAGATCCAGGGGTCAACAGTGTCTTGTGAAAGTTGACGGGGTGGCAGGTGAAATGCTGGACGGTACGACCAAGAGATGGTAGCTTCAGCTGCCTCACTAACAACCTCACAAGGCAAGGTCAAATCACTTCCTGGTGCAACTGTCTTATCTTGAGGCCCAACACCTATTACAGGTGGTGGATGAGATGGTACCACAATCAGCTCTGCTTGCACACTTACACCACCACCATTGCTCACACCCCAGCAGTGGTAAGTACCACTGTCTTGCATAGATGCTTTTTCTATCATGAGGGTATAGCCATCATCAGAAACAGAAGCATGACCCCTGCTCAGTCCTGGTAATAGAAGAGCTGTTCTGTCCAGTGCTGGGAGACGCCACATCACCAGAGGCTGAGGTCTTCCCTCTACCTGGCAGGAGATCTGTGCATTTTTACCAGCCATCACCTGAATGTCCTGTGGTCGCTGTAACAGCTGAGGTGCATTGACGATAGTGAGTGTGGCTTGGGCAGAGGCAATTCCTGCCTCATTCTCCACCTCACAAGCATAAACACCTGAGTCAACAGTCTCCACTTGCTCTAACACCAATCGTTGACCATCTATCCTAGCACGTCCCAGTGGCATCTTGCCATCCAGACGGCGCCAGGTCACTGTAGGAGTAGGAGAAGCTTGTGCTCGACATGCTAGCTCCACCACTACTCCTGATGGGGCAGTGATGTTTGATGGCCGCTCCTCAAACCAAGGTGGTACTGAAATAAGAAATTCTTTTATAAATTTGAAAGCTTTACTACAGCAGAAACTACCATTGCTCTAATTATTTAATATATGCACTTAATTTATTTTCATATAGTGGCAATTCTGTTAAATTAGTTCCATTAGGTAGCTTTTCCAAGTAATAATTTACGAGATCAAAATACATATGAAAGATACACAATTGAATTCAGTACAAGTCTTAGGGATATTTAAAACACGAAATAATGAACTTACTCATGGCAGTGAGTTGTGTGGGTGTGGACTCCCTGGTGCCAGCAGCATTTCTGACTCTACACACATAGGTTGCAGAGTCTTCTTTGATGACCTTGTTGATGACCAGGTCACCTGCTTGAGAGACACTGACACGGCTAGAGTTGGTCACCTGGCGACCATCCCTGAACCAAGTCAACTCTGGCTGAGGGGTGCCCTTGGGTGGTTGGCAGGGCAAGGAGATAGAGTCCCCAATGCAGGTCTTTACTATGGGTTCGGCCTGTCTCTGAAAATCATTGGAGAGGGTAGCTACAATCAGTGTGGCGTTGTGAGAGCGTGTAGCACCATAGCTGTTGGAAGCCCACCACCAGTAGTGC